TAACGCAGACGGGTCTGACAAAAGAAAACTCAGGGTTGTCTAGCAAATAAAGGCTGAACCAGGTACAATGTTATCTACTAAGGAGCTGCATTGGCCAATTAAATATGTGCAAACACAAATTTCTAGCAATTATTTTGTATCGTGAACACTGTATCTCTACTGTTTACCTCATTATTAAAGATAAAATGATTGACACTGTGTAATAAAAAGAATAAAAGAGTATTATAAATACCTTTGCAGTGTTTTGGGGTCCAAAACACAAAACAGTCCAATGTGAGCACCAGAGTATGACAGCTTGTCAGACACATAAACGTATTTGTAGATGCATTGTAGTATTTTATCATGTCAGTGATATTGATCAGGTGAGAAATGATAATGGCTAATGGTTGAACATTAAACAAAAACATATGTCAAGAAGTTGTGTGGCAAATATGGTTGTTTTTTTAACTGTAAAAAATGGTTTCTAACTTGTATATTGAGATATCGGGGCGGCTGTGGCTCAGGAGCTAGAGCGGGTTGGCAGTTAATCGGAAGGTCGGCGGTTCAATCCCTGGCTCCCCCTGGTTGCGTGTCGAAGTGTCCTTGGGCAAGATACTGAACCCCGAATGATGTATGAATGAGTGTGAATGTTAGTTTCCGTTTGAGCACTTAGGCTCAGTGTATGAATGTGTGTGACTGGTGAATGCAGATGTAGTGTAAAAGCGCTTTGAGTGGTCGAAAAGACTAGAAAGGCGCTATACAAGTACGGAGCATTTACATTTACATAACATTTAATTACATGGTAGGGGTTATTCCATATTTTTAATTTTGACAAATCCCACGAGAAGACCAAAACCAGCATTATTTTAGTCTCTCTCTCAGTACTTTCTGACTTTCCTTCCCATCTTAGCCCTAAGCCCACTGGCTCCTACTGAAGATGTAAAGCTTTTTAAAACAGGTCACAAAAGTTTCATTCTTGAGACAGGCTCAGTAATTTCCTAAAACAGCTTGGACACTGTAGCCTTTAGCAAATATTGCAATTATTGGGAACTGTTTTCAGCCATGGATTAATACACATTGGTACAGTTGCACTAATGAGTATTTTTGGCTCTATGGTGGTGGGTGTGTGGGATCAATACAAAATAAACTACAGTGCCCATGTTCATCATAATGAAGGAACATGTTACACAGTAAGTATGTTATAGTGTATCAGGCTACATAGAAAATACTTTTTTATTGGGATCAGTTCATTATTGGTTTGAGTTTAATTGTGGGATTTATTCACATAGTAGAAATATAGAAAATTACCAGCTCTATCCTTTAAACAATAGACAAAATTAATGAAATACGAAATGTCTCTGTTCTCCAACTAAAATTTGTTATTCCTTCTTCCAGGGATGAACACATTGATTGGTTACGATCTGGTACCTGAGCCAAAGATTCTTGAGGCAGCACTGAGAGCCTGTCGGAGGTTAAACGACTTGGCGAGCGCAATCAGAATTCTGGAAGCTGTGAAGGTAAGGAAAAAAGACCAGCTTCTAAAGGCCTTTACACACGGGAAGCGATTTACATGCCTCGTAATTCATTTTCAATGAGAGGCATCTGTGTCTGTTCACATGAGAAGCCCCGCGGGGCCAGGCGACTACGCAGGCAGAGTGTCGCTTCCCGTGTTAAAAGACCTTTAAGCCGCGTTTTGACCAAAAGTCCCCGCACATCTTTTCAAGCAACTAAAAGATTCCTTTAGCCTATTCATAGTTTTCACGTGACGTCAAATTCCAAGGAAAACTCTCCCATGGAGGGCAAAAAGACGTTATTTTCCGCTGCCTGCACACACTGTTACTTAGAGTTGCTGGAAATGCTGGGTGGTCACAGCGCATGTCACGTGACTGAAAACTATGAATTGTTGTGTTTCCACCGAAGAAGATTAGGCAAATTAACCAGCTGATTTAGGCTGTGTGGGACTAGACTTCTTTGTGTGGGAGTATAATGGAGAAACACATGATAAAGTTACAAATATAATAACAAACTGGATAAAGCCATCAAGTTCTTAAAATAAGTCCAGCACGGAGAAAGCAACACAAAAATAAAATTGCGACAGTTTGGAAGGCCAGCTGACAAGAGCTGCCTATCAGCTGGCCAGACTCATGTCTATATCCGCCTGAGCGTCAGAGGAACACTATTTTTAACGAGCTTTATTAACTGGTATCAGCTGTTACGCTTGTTATGGAGATGAGGAGATTGACTTTTAAAAACTTCCTGACTGATGAAAACTTAAAACTACAACTTAGGACCAATTATATAGTGTTACTCCATCAGCTGTTCACTGTAAACACACCACTGCCCACTGGCTGGTATTTCCGAGCAGTAAATTTAATGCCGGCGTACGATCTCAGGCGGACATCGGCAAGGCTTGTGTGTGCTATCTGACTGTTGATGGCAATTTATTGGTTTGTAAAAACAGTAGAAAAACACCCCACATGCTTGATTTAAAGCCAGTAAACATTTCTTATTTCCTCAGGACAAAGCCGGCCCACATAAAGAGATCTACCCGTACCTGATCCAAGAGCTGAAGCCAACATTACAGGAGCTTGGCATCTCTACACCTGAAGAGCTTGGCATTGACAAAGTGTAGATGGGAAGGTATTAAAATTCTCTGGTCAGTTGTGTGTTTTTCCCACCAGGTTTGTCGCAAGATGGCAATCTAACAAAAAGGTTTTGTTTGTTTCAGATCTAAAGATGATGGAACGCAGTACCCTTGTACTTAAATGTTTGCTTCATACGTGTGATATTTAATTTGGCCTTTATTAAGTTCTATTGCTTGTAAAATATTGATGAACCTAATAAAGGAAACTATCTTTATTGAGTGTCACAAGTATGTTTTGGGAAATTTTAAATTTGTTTGAGTACTTATTGAAGCAGTACATTCATTTTAATTTGCTTTAAAGGAGAGCAGGGCGTCGCTTTGTTCGTGTTGTCTGTGTGTGTCTGAACTTTCTTGTGAGAGTCAGATTTTGCCACAAGGGAGCAGCGATTTCACATGTATGGAAAAAAATCATTCTACTGTATTCAAGCTATATCACATCTGTTTTCATTTCAGGGAAAATGTATATGCTGGTAAAATAAACTTGTTCAAATGGCAAATGGTGTAATGTGATTATCAAGACAATACTGTATTTCTTTTAATTTAGTTATAACAATGTAGTTTATTTAACAAAAAAGAGAAGTTATAGCTACATCAGAAAGCAATGTAATAAAAAAAAAGATAAATTTTTCTGACAAATATCTGAATACATTTTGACTACTGACATGTACTTATTTATTACATATTTAAGAGACTCATGTTTTGTTGGATGAATTTTGTGTAATATTTTCAGATGCACTTCTCATTTTGTTTGTGATACAGAATCTGAAAGGAACTAGCCATGCCCTGCTCCAGTTCATGTCCAAAAAGATTTTTCACATGCAGTTGTTTTGCTAGTATGGTACTTTTTCTAATAAGTCTATTGTTGCATCTGATGTTCATAATCAGTACCAAGGATGAATAAGAATCTAGCTTTTTGTTGCTTTTATAGCTTTTCATTCATTTAAATATAGCTTACCAATGGTTATGAAACTTGATAGGGAACAGGATTATTGCCTGAAGGGACAGTAAATATGATAGTTAAAAATACTTTTCTGTTGTTTTCTTTGTGAGAAATTAGGCAATTCTTACAGTCCACTGACTATTAAGGATTTAAAAAATAATTTAACATGGATTGTATTATATGGATAATGGATTATTTCAATATTGCGTAATTTCCATGAATGCTACCTTCAGTAAAATTGTGCAATGCTTAGACCAATGGGCCTACAGTGTCAAACTAAATTGTAGTTGAAATCTGCACAATTATTCAACTTCTCTTATTAAAAACAAAAGATGTACTTAATGTTAAAATTTTAATTGAGCGTGAGTGGAAGGTTTCAAACATTTTCGATAATTACTAGATAAAACAATTTCAACATCTCTGATATAGTGTGAGATTTATAAATCAGTACCATACAAGTAAACCACTAGGAGGAGTAACTGCTTATGCTTGTTAATTCACAAATTCACCACTCCTGCTACAAGGTCTGAGTCTATATGAGAGGAACAGATTTCAGTTTAAGTTTAGATATTTGAGAGGAATGACTGAGTTAGGTCTGATGTGTTTGCAAGTGTCTTTTTCAAGCCCATAAATACACCATTTGACTGCGAGTGTATGAATAGATTGTAATTTATTTCTCAGTTTAAGCAATGTCTCTGCTTAACGCTCTGAAACCTGTGTCGAACCTGTGGTTAAGAAATGCAGGATGCTGTTTCTAGCAAGGAACCAGTGAACTATGTGTGACATGTTACATCCCTCCCCTTCACATGAAGGTCTTTGCTTTTTAGCTGAGGAGATCTCTGTATGCCTTGAGCCCATTTGCAAAGGTGAAATAAACTTACTCAAAGACAGCTCTGGTTTTTCATCTGTATATAACACCGCTTTCCATAAGCGTAACCAATAAGGTCATGTCAACAGTGTGTGCCTTCAGCTTTATGTAGAGGAGTGGGTGTCCATATAACCGCTGACATGAAAGCAGAATTTCCAGCATTGTTACATATGGTATTAGGCTGTTCAAAGCACATTAGATGGCCACCGCTGGTTTTGTTGCCAACCAAAAGCCAAAAGAGCTCTAGACTATATCTTTGGTTTGGACTCCAAGAAACCAATTAGCACTTAGTGATAAAGTTAATCAGACTATAACACATAGCCTACATGTTTACCTTAAACAGATGTCAGACCTCTGCCAGCCTCTAACCATTTACATTTTCAACAACACATACATGTTTACCTTAAACAGATGTCAGACCTCTGCCAGCCTCTAACCATTTACATTTTCTTTGGGCACTTTTACTCAGTAAATGTAGGCAACTTAATCCTGCTCCAAAGAAAATAGGACAATGACTGATGACGCCACCACTTTATAGCCAGAATGCATGTTTCTGCTGTGAAATAGCCTATAACCAATTTTAGCAGTGGAGTTAAATAGAAGTATTCTATGGGTGTAGAGGTCAGACTCATTTGCAATGTAAAAAGTTCCACGGAGACACAGTCAAGAAAACGACCACTTTACGAGATTTATGCACGGGGCGGGCCTTTGATTAACCCTTGGTTTGAGGGGGGGAAGCCATTCAAAGACAATCAAGATGTTTGAGTTTCCATGCGCAGTGACCAGCGAGGTAAAAGCGCACAGCATTATCGCTTACCCCTCCTCCAGCTCCTATTACTCCGGCCTCCACACTAGCCTACAGGAGGGTTTTTCACATTTGATCAGAAGAATGTTTTCAGTTTAGAAAAACTGGTCATGCGATGCGATTTATTTCTGCCGGCGGAAAGAAGGAAAAACTAGATAAGACCTGTTGGCGATGATGGATTACTCGAAGGCGCAAATGGTGAGTGTCGACGACTGTTTGGTTACGCTCCCACTCGTGTTTGTTACAGTAACAAAGCAGTGACGATTCATGAAGACATTTTCAGGAACATTACGATGTAGTTTTTGTTTTAGTTATTGATCAGGGTAAGTTGTTTTCCGTAATTGTTAAAGGAGGTCGTATGCTCGCATGTGTCTGCAGTTTTGAAAATAAAGTTGATTTTCCATTTAGAAAACTGAAGAAATAGGCTATGGAAGGACGTTCTTACGGACGCCTTTTAACAAGGCAAGGACACTGAAAATTTTTGGGGGAAACATTTGTATCCTGCTTCTAATTTATTGTCAACTGAGCTAATGTAATCTTCTGTTGAGAATTCTCTCAAGCCACTTAGCTTTGTTTCACTTTAATCCACCAATAATGTGCTTTCTGAGGCCGTAGACAGCCTCTCATGCACATTAAATTCATCATTTTAGTAGACAAAAACAACTGAATAATGTTCATCAAACAATATATACATAGTATATAGTATTTAAACAACTATTTGGTAAAAATGTAATTACCAAAGCCTTTTTGTACATGCAGTTTGCATTATCCTATTTATAACTTTGGAAAACTTGCTGCAGCATATGCAAGCAGAAACACCTAATCAAACTGTGAAGTGTGAAGTCAAATATGTGTCAATATGTCAAATGTTTTTTTTGGTTCATAGTCAAGCTTATCCGAGGAGGGCAGCTCAGCTGGGTGTCCACAGTTCAGTCCTGGTGGGGTGAAGCTTGAGGTGGTAATGGAACAGCTGCAGAGACAACAAGAGGCCAAACTGGAGATGAACCTGCAAGAAAAGCATCTTCTTCGAGCCCAGCTCCTGTTTGCTCAACACGCTGCTGTGGCGAGGGCCTCTGGCTCCAGAATAGACTCTGCGTTATTTGGCAAAGCAGATGGACAGACTTACCAAGCAGCTCAACAAGCTTTTAACAGCCATCTCAGCAAAACAGACCCAGATGAGGAAGATGAAGACTCGGATGAAGAGGAAGAGGAAATGGTGGAGCCTGAAGAGAACGATGAGGACGAGGAAGATGATGAGGAGGAGAACGGGCCTCATCAGCAGGCGAAGAAGCCTCGACACCAGCAGATTGCAGGCTTCCCCTTCCCTGCTTATTCCACATCTCAGTCGTCTGCTGTGACGCAAATGTCCAAATCGCCACCTTCAGCAATAAAACAGGAGCCTGAGGAGAAGGAGCGGCTGTCTCTTGCTGGCCAACAAGCCTTCACATCACCCAATGGCTTTGCTGACTGGGGCTATGATGAACCATGTAAACAAGTAAGTTATCTTTGACTGCCCAAATCAAGACTATATTGTTTTTCTTGCCATCCTTTTATAGCCTATTGAATTTTTTAACATTTGCTCCCATATTTTACAGAAAATCCCATTGTCATATCTCTGTCCACTCTTGGATAAGCTCTGGCTGTTGTGCTAGGCCTGAGAAAAGGAAATGCATTCTTATTGCAGCAGCCAACATTGTAGTGATTTATAACTTTATTTTGAAGTAGCCAGACCTCAATTCAGCTTTACAGAGAGGAGATGAACATCTGTAACTCTCCTTTTTGGTGTGTGTGTGCATACTCTTATTATTTGTTGACTTCTGAGAGTCAGACTCACTGCTGCCTAGTCTGCCTCCGTTTCTGTGGAGGAAGGAGCGTGTCCCTTTGGCAAGATGCCCGAAATTGATAGTGTTTAATTAATTAACTACTGGCCAGGCCAGCGATCTCTCCCCACTGTTATACTTCACCACATGTATCACACTTTTGAAAAGGAGTTCTGGCCACCAGCCGAGGTAATTGGTCTTGGCTGGGATCCAAGCCTGACTGTTCAAAGCGGCCAGTTCAGGTCTCATAGTGATGAAGTTAAAAAGACAGCAGAGGATTAAACGGAATAGCGTCAAGTGTGTATGTTTGCACACAGTTGGCTTCAATAGTTAAGAAATCGCTGGGTAGGGAGGTGGACGTTTCTCTTTGTATCAGCAAGATATATAATGAAATGAAAAAAAATGGTATTGAATATGAGATCCAAAGCTAGTATTTACAAGTATGTTTTCCAACAGTTATGTTTGACTTCTTATAGGAAACAGAGGCTGTCCTTTTATAGATTTATTATTTTTTTCCTTCTTAAGGGAGACCAATCTGATTGGTTCTTCTGTGTGTATTTTCCCTTGAAAAGGCACCAGTTCAATACAATACATTATGATTAATGAGGCCTGAGGGAGGAGGGACAGCTGGGGTTACCAGCCTTAAACATACCAGCAAGTAACTGCCTATAAAGTTCACTTACAGTAGTTTGAGTGGATCAGACACACCTCTTGCTCATTATTTAGACAGATTTCATATTTTCTTGTGCTTTTATTTCCCCCCTATTTCCACCTGTCACCTGGGGTTTGGTAAAAGTTACATGTGGAGTGAAACTATGGTTTAAGATCCATGATCGTTCAAAAAGTTGTGTTCATTGGCCTCTTCAAAACCCTACCAGGCCCATAAAACTCATTGCTGACGTAGCTGTAGCTCAGTGGATAGCTTTGCATAATTTAACTGTCGCTTGGCAACACTAAATGGCAGCTTAATTCAGCTGCAAGTAATCAATACATTATATGGCTGCTGCAATGAGAATGCATTTCCTTTTCTCAGGCCCAACACAACAGCTGGGGCAATGTAGAAC